CGATGTGAATCGTCATCAGGCGCATCGGTTCTTATAAAACCGATGTGAACAATTTGGTATAAAATATTATTTACATCGGTTCTATGTACAACCGATGTTAAAAATATAATATACAACATCAGTTTAAAAAAACCGATGTATTCTAGTATAAAAGATACTTTTCACATTGATTGTTTACATCGGTGTTGTTCAAAACCGATGTTATATTATGATCTTTCCTTGGGCAAATCGGTTATTGTAAACCGATGTTAGGCATCATATTATTATTTAATATAGGAAAATAACTGTTCGATTCTCCAACTCTCCTTCCTCACGCTCAGAGCCTCCAACTCTATTTCTGCAATTTATTTCACGCCCCCCGTCGCCGTAACAATCGCCGTCCACCGCACTCGGCCTTCGCCTTCCGCCGCACTCGGCCCTTGCCGTCCGACGTCTTCCTAACTCTCGTCTCGCCCAAAATTGATAGAAGCTCTAGTCGCACTTGGCCTCCGTCCGTCCCAATCCCTAGTCGTCCGCCACACTTAATCCGCTCGTCGCCATAACAATCTCCGTCCGCTGCACTCGGCCCTTGCCGTTCGTCGTCTTCCTAACTCCCGTTTCGCCCAAAATCGATCGAAGCCCTAGTCGCACTCGCCCTCCGTCCGTCCCAATCCCTAGCCGTCCAGCACACTAAATATGCCCTCGCCGTCCGTCCCAATCCCAGTCGCGCGCCGCCCGTCAGCCGCTCTTAGACCCTAGAAATTCAAATACGGTAATGCCGATGAAATTTATATTGTAGTGAATTTAATCATGTGTGTTTTCTGAATGTGCCAATATGTTGCTGTTTAATTGGAAAAAATGTGGCAGCGTAATCATATTATGCAGCTTATTGTTGTTGTTAAAGGCATAGGCTTTAACTGCCACAGTGAAAACTTTTGTGTGTTTTACTCAATTTTATTGTTTAGTAATCTTTAAAAGTTCCAGCTGTAATCGTCTTTTCTGATGTAGCAGTTCCAGCTTTCTATTTAAACCTTGCATTTGCTAATTGCTAACTTTTATTTCCTGTTCAGGATTGATAATAAAGTCCCCTTCTCGCATTTCGACTCGTAATTTTTTATTTTGAGCTGGATTTGTTGGCATGTGCATGTGACTGATTCTA